TTCTGTGGCCGTTTGCGGTTCGGTACGCGGCGCATCAGATCAACCTTCACCCCAGGGTCTCCCGGCCGGAGACCTCCCCAGCTCTGCTGTGGACGGGGAAGGTCGGCGATGCGTCTGCTTTCCGTGTCTGGGGATCTCGGGCGTTTGTCCGCGACTTGTCTGCGGACAAGCTGTCCCCTCGTGCTGCTCCCTGTGTCTTCCTCGGCTTCCCCCCTGACGCCCCAGGGTGGCAGTTCTACCACCCCTCCTCTCGTCGTGTTCTGTCCTCCCAGGACGTCACGTTCGACGAGTCAGTCCCCTTCTACCGCCTCTTCCCCTACCGCACTCCTTCCCTCCCCCCGCCACCGCACTTCCTTGTGCCAGGTCCCCCCCCGGTAGACCCCCTTCCCCCTCAGGGTCCTGCCCCTTCAGGTGTGTCCCAGGTAGACGCAGTCGAGCCGGTTGAGGTTGCTGGTGACTCTGGTCCTGCTGCGGGTGCTGAGCCTGGGGGTGCTGACTCTGGGGGTGCTACGAGCGTGGGTGCTGAGCCTGGGGGTGCTGAGCCTGGGGGTGCTGAGTCTGGGGGTGCTGAGCCTGGGGGTACTGCGACTGGGGGTGCTGAGCCTGGGGGTGCGGAGTCTGGGGGTGCTGAGCCTGGGGGTGCTGCGACTGGGGGTGCTGAGCCAGGGGGTGCTGCGTCTGGAGCTGCTGAGCCTGGAGCTGCGGAGCCTGCGGCCACTGGACCTCCCCTTGTGGCGTCTGGCGGTGCGGGACCTGGCGGTTCTCCGGGTGCTTCGCCTCGGCGGGAGCCCCTCTCTCCACAGGAGCTGCGCGAGTGGTTTGCTCGCCGCTGGAGACGTACTGCTGGAGCTGGAGCTCCTTCGGCTGCTGAGGGTACTTGTGCCGCTGGTCCCGGAGCTGCTGGGCCCTCGGGTCCGCCTGGAGCTGGAGCTGCTGCGGGTGTTGGTGCTGAGACTGCTGCTGTCCTTCCTGGCGGTGGTCCTGCTGCGGGTGCTGCTGGTGCTGCTGGAGGTCCTGCCGCTGGAGGTGCTGTTGGCGCTGGTGCTGCTGCTGAGGGTGCTGTCCCTGCTGTGTCTGGAGTCGCCGCGCGGCCTCGGCCGTACTTCGTTCCACTCCTACAGCAGGTTCTTGGTCTTTCTCCTCCTGCAGCGTGTCCACCGCCTGTTCAGTCACAGTCCCAGTTAGAGCCCGCCTCCCCACTTCCTGCTCCCTCTCCTTACACTGGTCCCACTGGAGGTCTTGCTGAGCGTCGTGAGCCTGCGTCTCGTCCTGTGTCGCCTGTTCGTGCTGCTCGCGCTAGTGGTCGCGGTTCGCGTCAGCGTCCTCCTCCTGTCCCTGGCACGCACCGGATGTCTTTGCGTCCGTCCACTGCTCCTCTGCGTGCCCCTTTGCCTTCTCCTCCTGAGTCCTCCCTTCCTGCACTTACCGACCCAGAGTCCGACTCTCTTCGTGCTGCTAGTCCTACTGTCACACGTCTCCTTGCTACTGTCGTCACTGACCCCTCTTTTGAGTCCACTGCTGCGTCTGCGCTTGTTGCTGAGCTAGTCGACTTTGCTGCTCGCTGTCGTCTAGACTACGCTGCCGGTCTTGTTGCTGAGTCTGCGTCTGTCTGTCCTCCGTCCGTCGGGGGTGAGTGTGCTCTTGGCACGGACGTCCTTGAGGACAGGCAGGAGGAGTTCCAGTGTCTGGCTGCTGCTTCACCTCATTTCGCGTCCGTACTACTTGCCCCTGAGGGAGACCCGGATGCACTAGACATCCCGACTCCGCGCTCTTACGCGGAGGCCGTAGAGGGTCCCTACTCCTCTCAGTGGCAGGCAGCTATGGATGCAGAGATGGCGTCCTGGAAGTCCACAGGCACCTACGTTGACGCGGTGCCCCCTCCTGGGGCGAACATCGTCAGTGGCATGTGGATCTTCAGGGTGAAGCGGCCGCCGGGCTCTCCACCTGTCTTCAAGGCGCGGTACGTCGCTCGTGGCTTCAGTCAGCGGCAGGGAGTTGACTACTTTCAGACCTTCTCTCCCACCCCGAAGATGACCACTCTTCGGGTGCTGCTGCACATAGCCGCTCAGCGCGACTACGAGCTCCACTCTCTTGACTTCAGCACTGCTTTCTTGCAGGGTAGCCTGCACGAGGAGATCTAGCTGCGCCGCCCACCTGGCTTCACTGGGACTTTCCCTCCTGGCACCCAGTGGAGCCTCCGACGGCCAGTCTACGGTCTCCGCCAGGCACCGCGTGAGTGGCACGACACACTGAGGACTACGCTTGCGGCTCTTGGGTTTGCTCCCTCTACTGCTGACCCGTCGTTGTTCTTGCGCACCGACACTTCTTTGCCGCCGTTCTACATCCTCGTGTACGTCGACGACTTGGTCTTTGCCACAGCTGACACTGCTGGACTAGCCTACGTGAAGTCCGAGCTGCAGAAGAGACACACGTGCACAGACCTGGGTGAACTGCGCAGCTACCTTGGCTTGCAGATCACTCGGGACAGAGCACGCCGCACCATTACCTTGACTCAGTCACACATGGTGCAGCAGGTCCTTCAGCGCTTCGGCTTCACGTACTCCTCGCCTCAGGCCACTCCTCTGTCTACTCGCCACTCGCTCTCAGCTCTGCCTTCGGATGAGTCCGTAGAGTCGAGTGGCCCGTACCCAGAGCTTGTTGGCTGCCTCATGTACCTGATGACCTGCACACGACCTGACCTTGCATACCCTCTTAGCATTCTTGCACGCTATGTTGCTCCTGGGAGACACCGACCAGAGCACATGGCTGCAGCGAAGAGGGTGTTGCGCTACTTGTGCAGTACGTCGGGCATGGGGCTAGTGCTTGGAGGGCGGAGTCCAGTGGTCCTCACTGGGCACGCGGACGCTTCTTGGGCTGACGACCAGGCTACGCAGCGGTCGTCGCAGGGTTACACCTTCAGTCTTGGTTCCGGCTCTGTCTCGTGGCGGGCTACTCGCTCGTCCTCTGTTCTCGGCTCCAGTTGTGAGGCTGAGATCTACGCCGGGCCATGGCTGCACAGGAGCTTCGCTGGCTCACCTACCTGCTGACTGACCTTGGAGAGCAGCCTCGTTCTCCTCCAGTGCTGTACGTAGACAACAAGGCCATGCTGGCCTTGTGTCGAGAGCAGCGCTTGGAGCACAGAACGAAGCACATTGCTCTCCGTTACTTTCTTGCTCGTGAGCTGCAGCAGCGTGGTCAGTTGCGACTTGCGTACGTGGCCTCTCAGGCCAACACTGCTGATGTGTTCACCAAGGCACTTGCGCCTTGTGACCATCAGCGCTTCTGCACTCAGTTGGGTCTTGTACCTGTCTTGCCTCACTTGCTCTCCTCTTGACCTTGCTTGTACTGTCACATATATATACCTGCTCTTGCTTGTCTAGCTCTATATATATATGTGTCCTCCTGCATGTGAACTGGCCTTGTGGCCTTGTCGTTGTGCTCGGACTGTGTGGTGACTTTGTGATCCACCCTGAGCTTGCTGTGCTTTGCGTGACTGGTCTTGTGACCCCTTGTTCTCCCCCACTTTGCCTATGGGGGTGTGTCAGAACATTATATAGCTTATGCTGTTGTGTAGGCTATAGTGGGGTATCCCATAGGGGGTACAACCCAATTAGGGTTTCCTATATGTACTCACTTCATTCATAGTTCATTCATTCGCGTTCTCCTTTCCACAAAAGTTAGTTTCGCGTTTACCCTATATACACTCTACCAAGTGTATATACACTCTCAACCTAAACCTATATACACTCTACCAAGTGTTTCGCGTGAAGTTAGTTGAACTATTTTACTCTCACCGGTGCAAGGTCCGCTGACGTGGAAAGTTTCCACGAGGACCACACCTGTCATTTACTGTTTCTGGTACTTTACTAGGCTTTGACTCGCGTCATTCTGATACGTGGCGGGCACCTAACCGACCGTATGTAGGAATGGTGAGTGTGAGGCGAGACATTTACGATGCTCCCACTTCTTGAAGGCCCGTGACACGTGGGTTGTACACCTACGGTGTACCAGGTTGTCTCGTTGAACAAACGGCACACAGACGTGGTTTGTTCTTGGTGAGCATCTCGTGAGCCCCTTACCCAAACCCACTCACTCCCGACGATCTCGGCAGTTGGGATACGCTTAACACGCTTCATATCCGTGCGGCTATTCACCCTTGTCTTGTAGAGATTACTGTTTAAAGTGGGTTTGCCCCTAGGCTTCAGCATTAGTCCACATAATGAGACTTGTATTGTTTTCCAGTAGCTCCGGTAGGTCGCTGTGACGGAAGGAGTTACATTTTGACCGGATTCCACATTTGTGTGTAGTGGAACCCAATTGGCTATGTCTCATCGGGGAATTATAAATTCACGCGTAAAAGTGTCCACAGTGTGCTTAGTACGCGCTTAGTAATTTGGCTTCTGATTACTGTAGTGTCGTTTGTAACACTCAGGCCGGGCAAGTTTTCTAACGTGAACTGCGTTTGGCAGTGACCGACTTCGTAGTGGGATTTTATTAGGGATTCGCTCGTGTTATACTAATACGTGGCGAGCGTCCAGTGCGACCTTACGATGGTATGGTGATTGTACGGCCCATGCCACGTGCGTCGCCCATGTAATGCACACTACTCGTCCATTGGGTTTGTGGTGTGTTCTAGGTGAAAATCGCGTGAGGCACTTACCGAAACTGATCTTCGCCCCACGATTCTCTCACTAAGGGCTCACGGAACACACACTGCCGCCTTGCGGATCTTTGTTAGGTTGTGGCCCTATGAAACATGTCCTTTACTGTCGCTTCGCTCTTATGCGCCGATTCAAAAACTATGCCATCTCTCTTGTTTCTAACTTAAGTTTGAGGAGCAGAGACGACTGCATAATGCAACACTTAGCAAGATGATGACGATATACACAAACTAGGAATGAAACACACACAGGTAGCACCGTGAGATACAAAAGTCAAAGGCACCAAGATTGCCTCTAGGGGTCTCAAAACACACCCACATCCATTCATAGAGACCTGTACTATGCATTCTTAGATCCCGACCCCTCCTGTTGATATGCAGTCTCAGCCCCGGCATTTACTTCACCTTTCGTTCGGGCCATTTTGTCGGCCCAAGCATCATCCTCATCCAAGCTGGCCTTTATTGCAGCTCTCTTACGTTCTTCCCTGCACATTTTCGCGTCCCACTTTGCCTTAGCCGCAGGCCAATACTTCCTCCACTCCTCCCACATGTGCCAGAACTTCATCCGGACCATCACCTCACACTGGTGCGCCGAACACTCTCTGAGCTTTGCCTTGTCGTCGGCAGTCAAGGAAATGAGATCCCCACGCGTTGGCTTGTCAATGAACATCACGTGCGACGTTGTGGCTATTGACCTTGCCGCCTCTTCCTCTGTTCCAAAGTGGCTGTTGATGATGATCAGCGACTGTGATGCACGGTCTAGGACGATCCTACCGATCCACTCGTCCTTGTCCAGCTTCTTTGTGACGCCCGTCCACCCCTTTTTGCCGGGCACCTCGCCGTTCTCCCCTCCCTGGGTCGAGGGCACCATAGATGAGGAGGCTGCCGATGAGGGCAGTACCTGGTGGGACACCTGCATGAAACCGGAGAGCATGCTCGATAGACCCAGACCACGAGACGCGGATGTGCGAGCAGGTTGGCAGCTGGCATTGTCGAGCACCTCATCAGAGGCGAGTAAAGTAGCATCATGATGCAGCGGGGGGCGATGCGTCAACAGTGGCAGTTGCACGAAGGCGTGAGGCTGTCCAGATACGAGGTATACCGCGTTGGGAGGTTGCAGAGCATGGCCAATCGGCCATGATGGTGCGGTGGATGCTGGGGTGACCGGCTGAACAGCACCTGCATGCTGCGCAAACCCCACCGCAGATGGTGCGCATGCTCCCTGCATATGCGCCCCGGGTGGAAAGGCAGAGGGGGCAAAAAATTGTTCCCCCGAAGACCATGCTGAAGAACCCATTTGAACAGCAGGTGCCCTACCAGTGTCCGCCGCCGCTTCCGACCCTTGAGCACCCTGGACCTGCACACCTCTGTGAAACATGGTGAGTTCCGTGTGCGGTCCCACTAGGTCCCACGCATCGTTTCTGGGCTGAACCGCAGCTGCGCTGATAGGCCGCCCCGTGGCAGCTTGAGCCCGTGCCTCTACTCCAGGGGCCCACGCAGTCGAACCGGGCGCGTATGACACTGGATCCCACGCGGTCGCGTCTGGCAGCGCATGAGATGGCGTCGGAGCAACGCGTGCAGCACCTGGCTGTGATGCGGCCGCTGTTGGAACACCAAGGCCTGCAGGTGGCTGACCAGACGCTGCTGTAGGAACACCGGCTGATCCACCTGGCGGGTACGCTGCTGGTGCTGGAACATCGGCCGATGCACCTCCCAAACCCGCGGCGGCTGCCGGAACACCGGCTGCTGCAGTTGCGTGACCGGCAGATGATGTAGGAACACCTGCTGCTGGACCTGCCGGACCCGCGGCTCCTGTTGGAAAACCGGTAGCTACACCTGTCTGACCCATGGAGGAGGTTGGATCCCCGGCTGCTGCACCTGTCTGACCAGCCGGGACGGTAGGAAAACCGGCTGCTGCGCCTGTCTGACCAGCAGCAGATGCAGGAAATGCACCTGGCAGAGTTCCTGCCGATGCTGGCTTAACCGCTGCTGCACCTGGCTGTCCAACCCCAGCTGCCTGAGCACCGGCAGAGGCACCTGGCTGACTTGGAGCAGATGGAAGAGCACCAGCAGGTGCACCTGGCTGCGCCGCTGAAGCTCGAAGAGCACCTTCCGCGATACCTGGCAGGCCCGCTGCTGCTGTAGTAACACATGCTGCAGCAACCGGCTGACCGGGCGCGGTGTTAGAAGGGACGGCCGCGAGGCCAGAGTGACCCGCCTCGGACTTTTGTGCACCGGGTGTGGCTCCCTGGCCTTGGACAAAACATGGCGTAGTCGCGGAAATTGATGGACGCGCATGTGACGTACCGGCACTGGACGCGTGGGGAACACCGCTCCTGTTCACAGGAGCTTCAACTCATGCTCCGGCCGTACGATGGGGCGGAGAGGCTGTAGCAGTAGAGGTGGTGGGTTCGTCGCTGTTCAAAACCTCCAGGCCACCCGTCGACGGCTTGAACCCTATCTTGGCAGCCATCTGCTGGAAGGCCATAAAGCCGTCGCTTCCGCTGCCGCCGCTGCCGTTCGCCGCTGCCGCTGCCGTGACAGCTGCCGCCGCCACAGCTGCCGTGACACCCGCCGCCGCCGCTGCCGTTACAGCCGCTGCCGTCGCTGCCGTCACAGCCGCCGTTCTCCGCAGCTGCCGCTGCCGTCCCGGCCCTGCCCGGCCGCCGAGCCGCGGCCCTGCCCTGCCGCCCTGTCGCGGCCCTGAACCTACCGGCCACCGGTGTGGCGCGCCGCCGCCGCAGCTGCCGTCACTCCTGCCCCGGCCCTGCACTGCAGCCGAGCCGCGGCCCTGTTCTGCCACCCAGCTGCGGCCCCGACCCTGCTGGCGCACCCCGGCTCTGCCCCTCCAGCCGCGGCCACCCTACCCACCCGCCTCCGGTAAGCGCACCGCCGAGCCGCGCTGCCCTGCAGCCGAGCCGCGCCGCGCCGCCCTGCAGTCTAGCCGAGCCGCCCTCCCTAGTTGTGCTGCCGCTCCTGCTGCTAGCCTGCTACTGCTGCTGTCATGGCTAGTCCTACTGTGCTTACCTTCGATGCTGAGGGCCGGGCTCTCGACTTTGATGTCTGGATCGATGATCTGCAGCTTTTCCTGCAGTGCGATAGCAAGGACGGTATCTCGCTGTTCGATCTCACGTCTGGTGCCTCTGCTGCCCCTGCTGCCGATGCTGACAGTACTGTTCGCTCACAATGGACCACGCGCGATGCTGCTGCCCGCCTTGCTGTGCGTAGTCACCTGCCGTCCACTGAGCGCGCGCACTTAAGTCAGTACAAGAGTGCTAAGACCCTGTACGACGCTGTAGTTGCCCGCTACTCCTCCCCTGCCACTGCTGCCCTTAGCCGCATCATGCTGTCGTACCTGTTCCCTGACCTCGCTGCCTTTGCCACAGTCGCTGTCCTCATTACACACCTCCGCACTAGTGACACCCGCTACCGCGCTGCGCATCCTGCTGAGTTCTGCGCCAAGAACCCCCCCCCCCCCCCCCCATGTACATCACCCTCTACTACCTAGTCACCCGCCTCCCTGACTCCCTTCGCTCGGTCAGGGACCACTTCCTTTCCCTTTGCCCCACCACACTCACCGTTGACCTCCTCGAGGAGCGCCTCCTAGCAGCTGAGAAGAGTATAGTCGCTGTAGGAGCCTCTCGTGAAGACCCTCGTGCCCCTTTCTTTGAGGGGTGCTCCCCCGTTCCCCTTTTGCCCTCTGTTGCCTCTGCTGCTGCTGTCGACCTCGTTGGCACCGAGTCGGTCGGCGCTGCGTCTGCCCCTAGCGGGAGACGCCGCAACGGCAAGGGCAAGGGGGGCGAGGGCGCTGGAGGAGCTGGCGGGGGCGGTGGTGGTGGAGGTGGAGGCGGCGGAGGGGGTGGGGGTGGCAGTGGGAGTGGTGGCGGGGGTGGGGGCTCTGGTGGCGGCGGTGGAGGCGGAGGCGGCGGCGGCGGTGGCGGTGGGAGTGGAGGAGGCGGCGGTGGCGGCGGTGGCGGCAGCGGCGGTGGAGCTGGTTGGGGTGGCCCTGTGCAGCGGGGAGGCTTCGGTGGTGGTCAGCGCCAGCAGCAGCAGCGCACTCGTGAGACCCCTCCCCCCCAGCAGCTTCGTGAGTGGTACGCTGAGCGTCAGCGAGGTGGGGGTGCTGGTCCCTGTGCCTACGTCCTGCGTACCGGCGACCGCACTGGCGAGCCGTGCGGCGGCCCGCACACCACCCAGCGCTGCTTCGGCCGCCTGACGGACGCCTCGCGTCTCCAGTTCCCTGACGCCACTTAGATCCCTCGCTGGGGCGATCTGCTTAGGTCGAGGGTTGCTATCTTTGATCTTGACTATGATGCTATTCTTGCTGCCATGTATGTTGTGTCTACTAGTGATGAGGGTGACTGTTACCTGTGTGTTCCGCCGGACCCGGGCATTGAGGCTGCTGCTCTAGGTGCTCGTGAGTCTGCTGCTCCAGGTGCTGGTGAGTCTGCTGCTCCAGGTGCTGGTGAGTCTGCTCTCTCAGGTACCACGTCGGCTCAGGTCTTGCACACCTTCACCCTTGCCTCGGGTGCTTCCCGCTCCTTCTTTCGAGACCGCACCATGCTCACGCCGCTTAGTCGGCCGGTGGCAGTCTCCCTGGCAGACCCCTCTAAGGGTCTTGTCCTTGCCCACTACTCCACTGTCCTACCGTGTCCGGCAGCCCCCTCTGGCACCCTGTCGGGTCTTTACCTCCCCTCGTTCTCTACGAACTTGGTGAGTGGTGCTGCCCTACAGGATGGGGGGGTTGACCAATTCACTCCTGCCAGTCAGCGAGTGACCCACTATACGTGTGCTCGGACGGGCCGACACTTGGCCACGTTTACCCGTCAGCCGGGGTCGAGCCTGTACACACTGACTACCGAGTCTCCTCTGGTTCCTGCGTCTGGCCAGGTAACTGCGTCGGGTCAGGTGTTTGCTGCAGCGTCTCGGTCTGGTCCTGAGTCTGCCCCCTGCTCGTGTCGCCTCCTGTCCCACCAGACTCTCCTCTGGCACCACCGCCTTGGTCACCCCTCCCTGCCTCGTCTCCGAGGCATGGCCTCCCGTGTCCTTGTCTCTGGTCTCCCCCGGTCCCTCCCTCCCCTTCCCCCGGGGCCTGCCCCTACCTGTGTTCCCTGCGTCGAGGGGCGACAGCGCGCCGCTCCTCACTCCTCCGAGTTTCCTCCGACAGAGGCTCCGCTGCAGACTCTCCACATGGACGTGTGGGGCCCAGCCCGCGTCCGTGGACAGGGTCACGAGCGTTACTTCCTGCTGGTGGTTGACGACTACTCGCGTTACACCACAGTCTTCCCCTTGCGCCGCAAGGGTGAGGTCACTGAGGTGTTGATCGACTGGATCCGCGCTGCTCGTCTCCAGCTCAGAGAGAGTTTCGGCTCGGACTTTCCTGTTCTGCGTCTGCACTCCGACAGGGGTGGAGAGTTTTCCTCCGACCTTCTGCGAGCCTTCTGTCGTGCGGAGGGCATCCGCCGGACGTTCACGCTTCCGGCCTCTCCACAGCAAAATGGGATTGCTAAGCACCACATTGGCATGGTCATGGACGTCGCTCGTACATCCATGATCCATGCGGCTGCTCCCCATTTTCTGTGGCCGTTCGCGGTTTAGTACGCGGCGCAGCAGATCAACCTTCAGCCCCGGGTCTCCTTGCCAGAGACCTCCCCTACTCTGCGGTGGACGGGGAAGGTTGGCGATGCGTCTGCGTTCCGTGTCTGGGGATCTCGAGCTTTTGTCCGCGACTTGTCTGCGGACAAGCTGTCCTCTCGTGCTGTTCCCTGCGTCTTCCTTGGCTTCCCCCCTGACGCGCCTGGTTGGCAGTTTTACCACCCCACCTCGCGCCGTGTTCTGTCCTCCCAGGACGTCACGTTTGACGAGTCGGTTCCTTACTACCGTCTCTTCCCCTACCGCGCTGCACCTCTCCCCCCCCCGCCGCTCTTCCTCGCGCCAGGTCCCCCCCCGGTAGACCCCCTCCCCCCTCAGGGTCCTGCTCCCTCAGGTGTGTCCCAGGTAGACGCAGTCGAGCCTGTCGAGGTAGCTGTTGACTCTGGTGCTGCTAGGGGTACTGAGCCTACGGGTGCGGGGTCTGGGGGTGCTGAGCCCGAGCGTGCGGAGCCTGGGGGTGCTGGGTCTGGGGGTGCTGAGTCTGGGGGTGCTGAGCCTTGGGGTGCTGAGTCTGGGGGTGTGGAGCCTGAGGGTGCTGGGCCTGCTCGTGTGGAGTCTGCTGGTGCTGGGCCTGGAGGTCCTTCGGGTGCTTCGTCCCGGCGGGAGCTACCCTCCCCACCGGAGCTACGCGAGTGGTTTGCTCGGCGCTGGCGTCGTGCTGCTGGTGCTGGTGGTGCTGCCGGGGCTGGAGTTTCTACTGCTGCTGGGGGTGCTGGCGCCACGGGTCTCGGAGGTGCTCGTACTGGAGGTAATGGAGCTGCTGGGCCTGGTGGTGAACCTGGTGCTGGAGCTGCTGGCGGTGCTACTGCTGGAGGTGCTACTGGGGGTGCTGGTGCTGTCCCTGCTGGTGCTGGAGGTGCTATTCGGCCACGGCCGTACTTCGTTCCGCTCCTCGAGCAGGTTCTTGGTCTTCCGCCCTCTACTGGTCCTACTCCTTCCTTAGAGTGTTCACCGCCTGTCCAGTCCGAGTCACAGTTACAGCCCGCCTCCCCACTGCCTGCTCCTTCTCCCTACACTGGTCCTACTGGAGGTCTTGCTGAACGTCGTGAGCCTGCGTCTCGTCCTGCGTCGCCTGTTCGTGCTGCTCGCACTGGTCGTCGTGTTCCGCGTCAGCGTCCTCCTGCGGTCCCAGGCACGCACCAGATGGCACTGCGTCCTTCCACTGCTCCATAGCGTGTCCCTTTGCCGTCTCCTCCAGAGTCCTCTCTTCCTGCTCTTGCTGACCCGGAGTCTGACTCCCTTCGTGCTGCCAGTCCTACTGTCACGCGTCTCCTGGCTACTGTTGTCACTGACCCTTCCTTTGAGTCCACTGCTGCGTCTGCCTTAGTTGCTAAGCTTGTTGACTTCGCTGCTCACTGTCGTCTAGACTACGCCGCTAGTCTGGTTGCTGAGTCTGAGTCTGTCTGTCCTCCGTCCGTCGGGGGTGAGTGTGCTCTTAGCACGGACGTCCTTGAGGACAGGCAGGAGGAGTTCCAGTGTTTTGCTGCTGCTTTACCTCATCTCGTGTCCATGCTGATTGCCCCTGAGGGAGACCCGGATGCACCAGACATCCCGACTCCGCGCTCTTACGCAGAGGCGATAGAGGGTCCCTACTCCTCTCAGTGGCAGACAGCCATGGACGCAGAGATGGCTTCATGGAAGTCCACAGGCACCTACGTCGACGAGGTTCCCCCACCTGGGGCGAACATCGTCAGTGGCATGTGGATCTTCAGGGTGAAGCGGCCGCCGGGTTCTCCGCCTGTCTTCAAGGCGCGTTACGTGGCTCGAGGCTTCAGTCAGCGGCAGGGGGTTGACTACTTTCAGACCTTCTCTCCCACCCCG